TTCCCAGAACCAGTCATATCACCAAGGCCGTGAGAATCAGATAAAACTCTCAGAAATCCATTCCTATCTTTTACAATTCACCCCCCGATCCGTCTCTCTCTCACTCTCAGGCCTTTCCTATAATTTTCCAGGGTCTCACCTTCCCTTCCTCTGCCAGCTGTCTTTCTTTGCTGTGGTTTTCTGTATTCAAAATAGATCTGAGAGGAGGGAATCGGTCCAGTCCCTGCGTCCCTCGTAGCACGGGGGAGACGGAGGACAAAGAGCCGGGGTTCGGTTCGAGTTGCTCGGCGATGGGTAAGATACCCACGAGAAGACCACTCATCTCTCCTTTTCCCTTCACAATAAAAGCATTTTAAGCCGGAGAACGCCTCCTATCTTCTGCCACCTCTGTCGCACGCTCCCAGATGAGACGAAAGAAAAACGAGGCCGGGACGAGAGGGCGAAAACAACTCCCCCGTCTCCATTGACGTCAATGGGTTTAGCCTCTGTCTATCTGTGCGAGCAGTTCGAGGCCCCCTGCGCCAGGTGCCGGGTGCCTGGGGAGAGTTATTCTAAGTCACCCACATGAGAAGAAGATCAGATCTCTTCTGGAGCGAGATCCAGAGGCAAGAAGGTCGCAAAGAGGAGATCCAGAGGCAAGAAGGTCGCAAAGAGGAGATCCAGGGGCAAGAAGGTCGCAAAGAGGAGATCCAGAGGCCTACTTGGAATTTTGCATCCATTTCCGCCAATAAACCCTCAGAATTGTGAAGCGCCGCCGTAGTTTACAAAAACAGTAGTGCCTTCACACCACGGACCTCCAACACGGACGTCCAACATGGCCGTCAGACAGACAGACAGGGGGTTATCCTCTCTCTTCCACCAGCCAGGCCCCCCACAACCTTCCACCCCCCTTTCACCCCCCACATCTTATTCACTCACTCATGCACAAAACACCCGGATGACCCTCAGACCCCCCCTGAACCCCCCCCACACACACACTTTCTCCTCATCGTCCGCTGTGCACGCTACAAGATCTGGGTCAACCGTATCAAACGCCAACGAGCTCTGCTTGTTCGCCTCTCTGGTGTGCGTTAAGTGTGTGTACGTGTGTGTGTGACACAGATATTGAGCGTGTGTGTGTGTGTGATGGAGATAATGTGGTGGTTTAGTAGCTGCTGTTTTTTTATCAAAAAGTGCTCAAGGGGTCTGATTAGGAAGTCCAGTTTCATCAAGGGAACCTTTTCATCTGCTGTTTTAGTTTGTGCATAAAAAGCAAGCTGTCATGCAGTGTGTGTGTGTGTGTGTGTGTGTGTGTGAGAGACAAAGACAGCCTGTCCATGCTCGGTCGTCCACTAAGCCAGAGACATGATTTCTTTCTTCATTTCCCTTTGAATCGTTCATGACTTCCTCGCCTCTTCTCACAAAAATCGTT